GGGTGTGTAGAAAATCATCCACAGCGGCAATGACGTCATCACCGGACGAAAAATGCCTACCGGAAAGACATTTCTTCAGAGCAGGAAACAGATAGAAGTCTGAGGGAGCTAAATCAGGGAGAGTAGGGTGGATGCTGAAGAAGTTGAAAACCACAGTCATGGATTGCTGACATGGCAACAGCTGATTTGTGCACTGGTGCATTGTCCTGGTGGAAAATCACACCTTTGGTCAGCTTTCCTCGTCTTTTGGTCTTAATTTCTTGCCTCAACTGCCTTATAAGTGCTGCATAGTATCTACCGTTAATTGTTTGACCCTTTTGGAGGTAATCCACCACGAGGACACCCTCAGAATCCCAGAATACTGAGGCCATCACCTTTCCTGCCGATGAAACAGTCTTTGCCTTCTTTGGGGTCGGCGACGTCACATGTTTCCACTGCTCTTTTGTTTCTGGCTGAAAGTGGTGGACCCAAGTTTCATCCATAGTAACAATTTGTTTTAGGAAGCGGTCAGGATCGGTTTCAAATAAGGCTAGATTCTCTTCTGACATGATGTGTCTTGAACGCTTTTGATCAGGCGTCAAAAGCTTTGGCACCCATCATGCTAAAACCTTTGTCATTACCAAAGTTTCAGTGATAATAGAATGAACTCTCTCCTTGCTAATACCAACTACCCCAGCCATGAATCGTTCAGTAACTCGCCGGTCATTCATTATCAGATCATGGATTTGTTGTACCATTTCAGGTGTTGACACAGTGTTTGGTCGATCAGGGCGTGGTTCGTCTTCAATGCTGTCTCGGCCACGCTTGAATTCAGCTGACCACCTTTTAATTGTGGCATATGAAGGAGCATCATCTCCTAATGTCTCAACCATATCATCGATCATGTATGGCTTTCGGTGTTAGACCCTTTTTATGCAGATACTTAATCACAGCTCTCGCCTCGATATGGTCCATTTTCTGATAACAACAGACCCTATTTGATTGTTATGACCTGTCACAACCAAACAGTTTAACCGAATGTGATGAAAGTTTGTGACAGAGCCCGAGGAACATAATAGTGACCGTGCAAAACGTTGTATCATTGTGTTGCACGGTTTTCCAAACGAGGCTCACTACTTATCAATCACCCCTCGTAATTTAGTATGCTTGTAATCTACGTAACTCGGTGCTTTATATAAAATGTAGAACTGAACTGTTGCATTGTTATTCCTGGTAACACAAGCGTCTTAACTAATGAGAAGACAATGTCTTAGCGGCGGAGTGGTAAAAAAAAATACACAACGTGAAGAGGAAGTCAAAGAAGACAATTACAAATACTAGACGATCACAATGCTGTTCCAAAAAATATAGAGTATAAGGAAATGCATGGGTCATACGCCGGATATGGCGACCGGTTTTACGATATGTCCACTTTTCACGTCTGACGAAAGACCCATGGTGCTACACCGGAAGCACTCTCCTGAATGGAATATGTCTAGCCTCGATCATCGAGTCGCTTCAAACAACTGGCGCTCGAAAGTATTATGGCTCACAATTCGTGTGCCAATTTTCAAATTTTCATTTTGTCTAAATATTGAACATCAGAAGCCCTACTTTTCACGGTTAGATAACAACATCAAATTGACCAATAAGTCAAGTTTGGAATGTCGAACTCGAAGACTGTAGAATATATTATGTTTAAGACTTGCCTCCTTTAAGCAAAATAAGCACGTGCTTAAGATATCGTGGTAAGCGGGCACCACAAAATGTCTGCTTTGTTAGATGCCAAATTTAAAATTTGAATTTAAAAATTAATTAAAAACTTTCAAGACACGTGTGTAGCCAGCTTCCTTCTAATTCTGTCATTTGGGTCTATAATCCCCATGTATCGCCTAGGGCAAAAATCCTAAAAATCTATCGTCTGTACAAACAATATACCCTGGTAACTAAACGCTATAGCCCGTAGACGTTAATTATAATTTATAAGCTCAATTTAAAGTGTGAAACAAACAATACTGGAGACGGGTGTTTAATGAAATATATAAGACAATATGTAGTACATATTGATATAAATGATGGGTAAATAAGGTGGATATAATGATAATAATAATAATAATAATAATCACTTTATTTCAAAAGGGTAGAAAATTAGGTCTGGGGCCTTTCTTACATTTTGCCCTTTTAACAACACCAAACATGCATAAAATCCGGGACAAATGTTTTACATAATGATAATAAATATATTAGATGTGCTGTTTGATAAATGTGAAAATATTTACACTATGAGAGGTATATAGAATTATACATGAACAGTATTTGCTCGAAGATAGGGATGAATACTTTTATACAAAATATATGTACAAGGATCAACATGGAAGCTGATGACAAAGATCTATATATAAAAAAAAAAAAATAAAAAAAATAATAATAATAAACAAAAAATAAACAAAAAAAATAAACAAAAATAAACAAAAATAAAAATAAAAAAATGGACAAGAAACATTAAATTATGAAGCACTTAAATATCTATAAATATGCTTACGAAACATGTTGATTGAGCTTATATTTTTAATATTATTTGGCAATGAATTCCATAACTGCGATCTTCTGAATTTTATATATTTTTAACAACAGAAAGCTGGGGTCTGAGAACAATTAATCTGTTATTAATATTACTATAGGGTGTATTGTAAAAGGGAAGAACATTAGTTAAATAATCCGGGCAACGATGATAAATTATTTTGTGAATGTAGGAGAACATTAAGATCCATTAAAATATAATTTACTGAATTAAGTAATACTGTGCGGATTAGCACGGCGTTCTAAACATTTACTATTGACTCCAAATTCACCCTACTATAATATTGACAATTTAGCTCTTACATGATGCATCTTTAACAAGCCCAGCGGACATAATGCAATAAATAAAGTTTGCATGAGCGTGTCATATTACGTTTGTAATATACATTGTACCAGTTAAAAAAGCATTTTATGCTTGAGGCCATTTTCCTTTGTGTGTAGGCAATATGACTGCTAATATACCGAACACGGATCACGTGTGACCGTTTGGGTTTGCAGATAATAAACCTTGAACTCTAAATAACATGCTCGCGAGAGAGAGAGAGAGAGAGAGAGAGATCAGATCAATGTGCGCGGCGGACACTAAACTTACAGCCTATACTGTACCTTAGTTACTTTAGTAACGGATGCTAATATGAAAATAAAGCTTTTCCCCATTTCGGTTCTAAGGCTACTTTGGAATCCTTACCGGGATTCTTCTTCAATCTGTGTTCGCCAAAAGGAATCATTTCTTGTCACATCCGACACAAATTTATAATAATCCAACACTACTTTCATGTAGAATTTAGCTATCCAAAAACACAAACAAAATACCTCGATGTGTGTACACGGATAAACCTCGGTTTGTTTTTTGGGGTTTTGGTTGGGTTTTTTTTTTTTTTTTTTTTTTTTTGGGGGGGGGGGGGGGTCCCTGATATATCAGAATATTATTGAAACTTGCATATCTTTTGTGCATTAGCCCTGTCGGTGTAAAACAGTAGGACGTCAAACACCATTTAATCCTGAATTCATGTTAAGCATTATACATAACTTTATACCAATAAAAAAAAAGTAGTCTTTTTGTCGCGAGCATATGTATGTTCTTAATACAAATCCCATCACTGTATTAAAGTAGTTTGAATATGTTTTTAGCACAAATATATCATCAAATCACACACTGTGTACGCGAGTAGGCATTTTAATAAAAGCAATATAATAATCATATAGGTTTTAAATGCTGAAACCTCATAAAAGAACTGGTGGGCAACGTATATGTTTTGTTATTAAAACCACAGAAACATACGGTATTGAATAAAAAAAAGGATATGTCTGAGTAATCATGATGTGACTTTTATACTAATAATATGTCTTGTCTTTTCAGTTTCGCCTCTTGGCTAAACCACATTTCAATTAGGTCAAAATAAAGTGTTTTATTGGGTTTATCTGATGTGCTATTTCAATTATTATGGGATACAATCGAAATATTACACTGCCATCAGCTTGTTTACTAATTTTAGTTTCGATAAACTGTCGACAGTATTTATCTACCCCATAAAGCAAATGAATACATTAAACTTAATTAAATCCACATTTCTAGGTTACCGAAATCAAATATCTAGTCATTTTCAACTCTTGACGTCACCATAAAACCCTTTCGTTCAATCGCTTCTGGGGCTTATCGCACCAAACCGTCATCAATACTGATATATTTAATAACTCACTGGAATCTCGTGAATAATGCAGACGTTAGCTTTCAGAATATACAGGCTATATTAGAACTTTTGATTGGTAGAAACCAAAACCGTCAAAACGAAACGAAACAATGATAGAGTTTAAATTGGAGTATTGGACTACAGAAAATCCTTGAAACAAAAAACACACAAATAATACTAAAACGAAAAACAGTGCACATTTGAACAAACTCAAGAACATCAGTAAAAACTTAAACAAAAAGTATAGCTAGCATATAAATAATTACACAACGAAAAAACATTGAAATGAAAACTTCAAAATGGGTGAATCTTTCGCCTACATAAATATACCAATAACAAGACAATATTCTTACCACAGGTGATCCTAGAGACAAGTAGTTTTATTATCTGCATCAAGGGTGGATCTAGTCGCCCTCATCTGGATCGAGAGTGCGCACTTTGGAACCGGATTCTTGTCTCAGATCACTGGAATTAGCATTTCCGGGCTTCTTGTTTTCTAAATTTTGGATCCGCCCTTGGTCATTGTGTACGACACCCGCTTTACCAGTCTATAGGTATTGGGTCGACATTGATAAGCTTGGATTGCTTAGTATTGCCTATACAAAATTTAAAAGTGTTTTGACGGACGGTAACGTATACAGATAATAAATTTTACATTTGGCGTTTAAAGAAACATTGACATTTAATTAAATGATTCAAAATAAGACAATTATTCCATTATAATAATCCAAGACAGAGAACAGTACTTACAGAGAACTATCATTCCCATAATTATCAGGAAGAACTGGTCCAAGTTAGACTGCAAGTGCCTAAAGTCCTTTACGGCTTGTTCCGTGGCATCCATTTTGATTTTTCTCAGTTACTGGCGATTTTTCTTCAATAATCCCTAAACTATGACACAGTGTTCAACTTGCTTAATTCGAAGCTCTTCGTGTCGTACATGCAGGGAAATAAGTGAAAATGATAAAAAGTCACGTGAGTATCGGTTGAGTGAACATTTGTCACTTTGAAAGCAATAGAATCTAGTGTAGTTTGTTTGTCCAGTACCCAGTCATTAAAATCAATAAACTGTGACAAAAAAAAAACAAACAAAAAAACAGAGCTTGACTACAGAAATAATTAAATAAACAGTCGCCATACATGTTTTTAATTTGTAGAACAAACATGGCGAATAATTTTCTGCATAATAAAGTATAGTATAATCCTTCCAAAATGTATCCAAACCTGCAATAAACTGTTGGTGGACATTATGTCCCTTGAGTTTATACAACAACATGGAATTTTATACATTTTTGAAGTGAAAACATACCTATTTGATGGAGGGAACATATAGTTTTATTGCTGCTTTGGATATATTTTGGAAAGATAATACATGTACTAGACTTTATGATGCAGAAAATTATTTCACGAAATGGATGGCGTGGCATAGTTATGGTAAGACAGGTTTTCTGTTATTGTTTAGAGCAAATATACATAGTGGTTGGCTTATTTCATCTAATTAGTAATTAGTAATCTGATCAGACATAATAATTGTTTATCAATAATATATATTTTCAGTAATCTGATAGTGAAAAAAAACCTCAACAAGTCGAGCGTGTGGTATTTAAAATATAGCTAGCCGGATATGGACACTGTGCTTGACAAGACATATACTGGATGTGGGCGTGTGTGTGAAATACATGTAGCTTTATTTAACGTCCGCTTCAACCGAAGTGATGTCGCAGACAAGATGTGGGAGTGACCTGCCTTTGTTTTTATACGCCATAAACATTTGCCATGTTTGTTCGACAAATTGAAAACAGGTATGGCGGTTGTTTAGGGTTTAACCTGTGCGCGTTCGATAACAAGGTCTGTCATTGAGTCAAGTGGTGTGGTTTCGATTCCAAGCGTGTACGTGACAAAGGGTATAGAGTCGTCCGCCCAACCCCATGTGTTTTACTCCAGGTAGATGAACTTTCTCTCTCAACAAACACCGGGATCGAACAAGGGACCTCAACGTTTGTGAGCCACCGTGGCTCCCAGTTATGAAATGGGGTTTAATATCCTACTTTTCTGCACCATCTGGGGTAAGACAGGTATACGCAAGATTATAGTATGCTATGAGGTACTTTTGATGAACAGCGGCGGCCTAATCTTCCTGGGGATCGCGTTGGCTAAGTGGGTAAGGCGCTGACTCGCTAGCCTGGAGGTCGGGTGTTCGATCCCTGCATTGGCCGAGAAAGTTCATCCAGATTTTCCGGCGTGGTTTCCCCTTGTCAGTGATGCAGGACGGAGGGCCTGACAAGGACAGCTGTCTAGTCGTTCGGATGGTACGAAAAACCGAGGTCCCGTGCAAACATTGGCGTGCACGTAAAAGATCCCTTGGCAGTTGGGATTCGATATACATGTAAGAGTAGGCCATAGTGCCGCTGCCCGGGCAAAATTTCCCTCATAGAACACTGTATGGCGTATGCCCATCTTCATTAGCCCAGTTTAGGAGCAGAACAGTAGGACGTTAATCCCCAGTTCATTTCATTTCATTTTCCTAATCATCCTTCAAATTCTGTCAACGGCTCTTTTACGTGAAAGACAACGTGTGCATAACATAAGACACGGTTGCTTGTCAGCCCCTCTATCTTGCACCAATGGCAGCAGGAACCAACGCTGGAAATTCCTGCTATGGTACTTTCTTGGCAAACATTGGGTAGGATCGAATCCAGGAACGCCTGGTTAGTGGGTCAGCATCTTAGTAATTGAACCACCATTGCTCCTTTTTCTGTACCAATCAGGCTGGTGAAGACAGGCATACGTATTGAAGCCGACAAGCCGACAGGTGCTCTTTAGCTCCTTCTGGACTTCACACGCTGAGCCGAGAAGCTGCGACAAGTGGTCAGTCCCGTTCAATTGTGGGTTTACTTCCCTATGAGGTTCAGCGCAAAGGCAGGAAATAATCAATACGAAGTCAAGAAACTTCTTAATTTCGCCTTGTATGTTCATTTCTGTTAACTCAGCGAAGTAGAGAAGTGCCCGATTAAATCTTGCCTTTGGGCTGAACCTCAGAGCGAAGCTGTGATATTTAGACCATTTGCCATGGCTTCCTGGCTTTACACTTTGTCAACGTGAAGGCAAGAAGGAACGAAGGGATACGTATCCATACGTACGCTGTGTAATGTGCTATGAGGAAATTTTGCCTATACAGTGGTACTACGACCTTCTCTAATTAAAATACCAACTGTTTATGGTTCTTTTATGAGCCACACCAACGGTTCTCCTGGTTAGTGAGGCAGCACCTTACACCCTGAGTGGTGGGGTGCAGAATATTTTGCTGGTGGTGAGGTGGGGGATCCCTACGTCACCCCAAGCAACAAAAATTCAAATTTACATGTGTCGAGGAAACACAAAAACTTGTGAATTTCATACGGTTTTTGACGTAGGGGTGGGACTAGGGATCATACTGCCTGAGTGGCGCGCACAGAATATTTTGTTAGGGGTGGGACATCTCACATCACCCCAAGCAACATATTTTATACATTTGTAAGAGGTAAATATTGTGACTAGTTTTGTTCATATTTTACTCTTTAGACTGATTGAACTCACGTTCCGTGGTTCTTTTAATCTTAAAATGTTTCCATATAGATAAAGTGTCATGGCGTCTGCATGTGTACTAAATAATAAACCACGTGTTATCGTTTGTTTGGGAGGTTGGTATGGCCTAGTGGTCTAGAATGCCGCGCTTCGACCTCTAGCTGACCGGTCACCTCTGGCTTGCGGCTGTCCAACCTATGCCCAACTATGGTTTAAAGAGTAAGCTTCCGAAGTAAAATAATCCATTGGAAAGACCCTGCGCGTGCGCTAAGATAATAAAAAGATAAGACTTGTCTGCGATATCACCTTCGGTGGAAGCGGACGTTAAACGCTAAGAATAACAACACATCGTTTGTTTACATGTCAACGATTGGCTAATTAAAGACACATGGCCAGTACCTATGTGTAACTATGGTTTAAAGAGTAAGCTTCCCAAGTAAAATAATCTGCCAACTGTGATCGCTAAATAAAAATACTGCTGGATTAGAACCTCAGAACTATTGATATTTTTATTCAGAATACTCAGCATGCCTATTTAAAGACAGTCAACTATTATGCTCATCTTCTAAAGATGATTGGCTGAGAGCTGTCACGTAAATTGCTGGAGCAAAATGTTGTTTCTGATAACATTATTTGGTGTTAGCTACTGAATTCAATCGGATTAAAAATAAACCCATCAAAAGATTGCAACTAAATAAGGGTAAGGGTCGCATAGACGAACGATTTTAACCACAAATGAAATGAAATGAAATGGGGCTTAACGTCCTACTGTTCTGCTCCTAAACTGGGCTAATGAAGACGGACATACGCCATACAGTGTGCTACGAGGGAAATTTTGACGGGCAGCGGCACTATCGCCTACTCTTATATAGAATTCCAACTGCCAAGGGATCTTTTACGTGCATTCCAATGTATACACGGGACCTCGGGTTTTCGTCTCATCCGAAGGACTAGACAGCTGTCCTTGTCAGGCCCCCCGTCCTGCATCACTGACAAGGGGGAACCACGCTGGAAAAGATTTTAAACCACAGTGAGCTAAACAAAACGGTCAAATAAATATTGGTTATCTAATATATTGGCCGTTTTGGTTTACGTTCCTTTTGACCACAGCCAGTTTTTATCGTCTGCAGAGAATGCCGAAGGTTGCGATATCTTCAATTCATCATATCTTTATAAATACTAAAAGAAATCGAATCATTTTTTAGACTGATATTCTCTTTAAACATTCACGACATTCTAGTTTTAGCAATCATGGTAGTTTTTTTTTAGAAATTGATAATTTTTAACATATTTTGATATTTGACTTTCAATCCAGTCCCAACAAAATCTGTCCATCAATTAGACCAGGCGTGGCCTCCAGCGAACTTCCGTCAAGTTGCTGCCATGAACGACTGATTCCAGTTATAAACGGGTGACGAACGAAGAAGAAGAAACGAGTACGAAGACGGCGATTAGATTCCATATAGTACAAGCGCCACAGGGTTAAAATAGTGGACAGATTATGTAAACGCTCCGTCTTTCATTTCATAAGGTAATTCTACGGATACAGACAATATTTATGGCGCTTCTGCCCGGAACATTCACATCAACTTACTAAGCTGCCTAACTAAGAGTTTTTACTTAGACATAAAAAATGATGGCGACCTCCGCATACAAATGGAATGAATTATACGAAATCTTCAATGGTAATATTAAATAGACCTGGTCTAGATAGAATGGACACCGATGGGCTAATTATATAACTATACATGCTTATATTCACACACACACACACACACACACACACGCCCTGTTAAACAATATAAAAAGATTCAAGGTTAACTAAGACACGTAAAGTTAGATTGGTTTGTATATGGTGTTAATCTCGTGTAGATCAGTGAACGCCCTTGTTTGTTTGTAAACCTTACTATATTATATACAATATTACGTAGATTGTGTGCATTATGCTTTGTATCTACAACCAATTTAAATGATTCAGGAAGCAGGCACCTTAATACGTCCACATGTCCGTGTTAACGTGTTATGTCGTCGTCCCTGTCAGTAAGTGTATCTTTCTGTCCGGACGTCACAATTCTTATCCGATTTGGGTAGGCGCACCCGCCTTTTATGCTGTACGCAGTTTGTGGAACTTCCAGAGGCCATAAGTTTTGTCCGATTCAGACACTGTGAGGACGAAATCTATCGATTTACCCTGTTCTATGTCCATCTCCTGGATAATGTTGACGCGTCTATAATGCCAACCGCTAGACCACTTTCTATCGAAGTATTTTTTAAAATTAAATGTGCAAAATGGCCATGTTAGGAAAGGATTCGCAAGGACTTCAAAGAAATTTGCAAGCATTAATAACCAATTGTATGGCCTCACTCTTTTTCATTATTTCTACTGGCCAATCCAAATTTCATATTTG